GAGAGAGAGAGAGAGAGAGAGAGAGAGAGAGAGAGAGAGAAAGGAGGGGGAGAAGGTAAAAGGCAAAGTGATATCGGGAGATAAAACAGAACGGATATCGTTGATGCTTTGGCGAAAGTGAATTCGCGATTCTTCGCGATTCAATTTAATGAATCTATATGGAACAAAAAGATATATGGTGTGCCCGTAATCAAAAATATCTAGTTGCGAGCAGCATAGTCGCATCATCCTAATTATTTCTGTATGATAGTAACGTGTATAGTTGTGAAAAGACACAGTTACCTCTCGTACGTCAACTACATTAATGTAGTTCTGGTTGTGCCGACCAGAAATCGATTGGGGTGGCATTTCCATCATGAATAAACTTTGGTTGGGGCGACCAGGTACCGTCACTGTAACTCAGCAACCTCGCAATTCTGGTTGCAGTATAATTAGTTGTGTTGCATTTTGCTGGTTGGCACAAGCAGACTTGTGTGTGAGCCGCACACAACCGTATTGCTCTTTCCTCTGTATAGATTTTTTCGATGTCTAAAAATGACAAAAGATCTCGCGGAAACAAGAGATTACGTTGATGTAACATGCAATAACGCTGGATCACAATGCGCGAAATGCAATATTAACGACAACGACCTGGCAAATGCATCATAATATGCATTTATGACGTCGCGACAAAGGGCGCGTTGCATCTCGCAATTAAATTGATAAATTTGCATTCCGCATAATATCAACGATGAAGTATTAACGATAATTGTTGCGATAATCAAGTTACCGGTAGTCGACACGTGGAGGCATTGGTTGCGTTCAGTAGAAAAAGCTGCTTTGCAACTGTTGTAAAATTCGTGAATCTGATTGGTATATGCTCTTGGATTTTGCACCAAAATTAAGAGCATACTCCAATCAGATTCACGAATTTTACAACAGTTGCAAAGCAGCTTTCTCTGCTGAATGCAGCCATTTATTTTGCTACACTGGGTGCTCGAGAAGTCATGCGGGATCGCCTCGCGAGAATAGGTCTCTCGTCGGCGAATGTGGGGCAATCGTATTCTCGTCCAAGATCCAATTCGACGGCGGGTCTTACAGTTCGCTGAATGTGAACTTGCGAGTGCATCCCTGAAGGGATTTCTGCGCTCCAGTTTTTCCCGGAAAAAAGAAACATTTCAATTCGAAATTACGTGGCGTTTTATGACGACGAATCTATCTCTGATAGATAGACTAACGCTCGATGGGACATCTTTGTGTCGCGATTTCCTAATTCCTCGTCGAATTCTTTGTCGAATAAATCTCAGGAGGAACGTCCGGTGGTTCCTTTTCCCTGCCTCGTCGCGATACGAGTTGTGAGAGTGCGCGTCCCCGGATAAAAATACAATACACGGTAACCAGTAGCGGCTTCTCTCGTCAGGCCTTCCTCTCGTCGCGCGATTTCCCTTTTCGGATGGTAAGAAGACGCGCGCGAGGGACCTCCGGTTCGCGTCCACCAGGGTACGCCAGTCGATGGTCCAGCGCAGCATCCGCCGTCGCAGCGGCGGCGCACCCTGGCACACGGCGACCGAATTAATTCGGGGGTTGGCAGCCCCTTCTGCGCAGGAGCTCGCAAACAACGAGAGAAAGAGACGCGCGCGTGCTCCTGACGCTGTGCGACGCACCTCGCACGGGCGCGATAATTTTCGTCAAGGGTAAATTTGCAACCAGCGAGGGAAAAGGAATCCGGGAAACGATCGACGTGGCCGCGGCGACGGGGTAGCCCGTGCGAGCAGGAAAGGCTCTCCCTCTGACGAGGGGAAAATTCGCGAGAGCCTGCTCTCCGAGGAAGACGGTGCTGCGAATTAAAATGGCTGTGACTGGCCGGGCCGAGCCGTGAGTGACGAGCGGACAACGAGAGCGCTTGGACGGCTCGCAGGATCAGGATCCTCCTCGTCGAGGATCCCGAAACCGATCGCTCGCTCGCTCGCGCTGTGGTCGATGAGGTGCGGAGGAGCGCGGGCGGAGGGATGACCCGTTGCGCGCTGGTGCGCAAAAAACCTTGCTGATCGGCGGATCCTGCGCCCCGCAGGACGTGCGGGGGGTGGAGAAAGAAAATCGTCGGTAAGTGTTCCACTTGCTATCGATTGTGTTAGGCCGGCCGATGACGCCTCCCCGAATGGCGGCCGTTAATTGCGGTTGGACGGGAAAATCGAAACAAATATTAGTCGGGAATTGAAGGAAAACGCGGGGATATAGCGAGAGATAAAATGCGAATCCATCGGAAGGGGACGAAGAATCCGAAGAAAATCGCGGAAAAGAAATTTGTGTAAAAGTCGATCTTTTCATTCGCGACGAAAAATTGGGGATAAGAAGGTCGCGTCGGTAAAATATAATTCAAGAGTGATTGAAGGAACTTCTGTTCGTGGGAAGCTTTTTTTCGAAAATATGTAAGAAGGAAAAAGAACAGTCTGGAAGGCGAAGGAAGAATCGATTTTCGAAAAGCGTGAACGTGCGATTTGCGATTTTAGAAATCGAAGACGAGGAGGAGGAGGAGGAGGCAAGATTGGTCGGGTAAATTGAGAAAACGTCCTCGCGAAGGATGAGATCCTACGACGGTGAGAGCAGCTCGACGGAGGACGATGATCGCCGGGAGGGCCTGCCGGAGGCGCACCTCCAGCAAGGATCCTGGCAACGCTCGGCGTCGCATCCTACTTGGGCCTGGGAGCATCGCAATGCCGTAAGTAACTCTACACTGAGAGAAATTATCTGATAAAAAATTAACAATCGGATATTTCCGAACAAAATATCGATATATTTTTACTGTCGATTAAATTTAATCGAATACTTCCGATCATAATGGCACTTCACCACACACACACACACACATCGGATAAACCGATCCAAAAACAATAAACCGATATTTCGGATAGAAGTTTCCTGATAGAATATAAAAATTCATCGGTATTTTGATCGGAAATATCCATTTGTTAATTTCCTATCGAATAATTTCTCTCAGTGTACCAGTTTTCTGTCTAACATCTTATCGTAATATCCTGTGTATCGAATATATAGGATAAATGTCACATCTGTTGTGTGCAGAACTCATCAAACCGAACACAAGATTCCTCCAACATTTCGCAAACAATCATGTAAGATTCTGAAGATTAGTTAGAGAGGATTGCTGAATGATCACGCGCGTTACGGTAGATGAGCGGTGACGGCGATGTCTGCTGTCGTGTGCTTTGGATGAAATTGTATAAAAAAAATTCTCTATCATTTTGCAAATAACTACGTAAATTTTTCGTTATATTTGGTTATTAATTAAGAAAGACTGGTGCATGATTGTTTGTGGTGTATCGTGGTTGTTTGCGAAATGATGGAGAAATTTCGTGTTCAGTTTAATGACTTCTACATGCACATACAGTAGGTGTGCCATGAATGATCACAGACACCCTGTATAAGTTTGTCACAAAAGCGCAGTTCTACAAAGGAACACTTCTCGTCCTTAGATTCCATCGCGGCGAAGGAAGCAACAAGGACCTCGTTCCTTACATTATCCCTTGTCTGAAGTACTCGAGGACGAAACCTCCATGTCGCGAAATGGAAAACGCGTTTGGTTCTCGCGAGTACGATCTTGAAAATAGCTTTTCTGTCTAAAGCTTCGTCTACAATACACGGAGCAATACTTAGCATATGAAAAGTAAAAGTAGAAGTAAGAAATAAAACTAATTTATTTCACTCATGTACATCTAAACTCTAGCTTCCTTACGCCAGAAGTATTTATTTGACAGAAAGACTTTTGGTGTAAGGAATGTAGGAGTAAGTGAAATAAAGTATTTTTATTTCTTAATCCTCATATCGTATACAAAGTCTAAGGCTTGGTCTACAATATATGGAATAAGCGTGTAAGAAGTGTAGAAAAAGTAAAAATAATTAATTTTGTCTATATGCTTATCTTTACTTTAATTTTCTTACACTAGAAGTGTTTCTTTAACTGAAATACTTCCGGTATAAGGGAGCTGAAGTATAGGCGCAAGCGAAATAAATTGTTTTAACTTCTTACTCCTACTCACATTTCTTACACCAAGTTTACTCCATATATTATAGACCAAGCCTAAGATTCCGTTTGTAAAGCGTGTCAATTTATTTGTACCGCAGCACCCACTACCCCCACAATCCGCGGCGTCTCTCGAGTCCGTGTACTCGACACCTGGTGCCTCGCATCCGGGTGTCTCGGGTCCACCGGCGGCGTATTCATCGGAACATACACCCAGTGCACCAGGACGGAGGACCCCACTGGGTGCTGTGGGTCTCGGTGGTTTCTATTTCCAGCAACAACCTCAACCACACACCTCGTCAAGCGCACTGTCCGACGAGAATCGGCCCGATGAGAGGTACGAAAGTTTGAATTTGATTTAAACGCAGAAGCTACTTGCGACTTGCAGGCAGAGTGGAATTGGAAAAGGCTCCAATACGCAAGTACGCGTCATGGTCAGAAGGGTACTATCTACTTTTAACCGTAACTGCGTAAATATGTTATGCACAAAATTCGGCAATCGGTAATAAAGATACGTTTTGTAAAGTTTTTATATTTTATCCCTAATATAAATATGTATACTTAAGAATGTTTTTAATCAGGTATATTTGGGTATTATACGCGCACACAGAAAACTGTATACTGTATTCGAGGAAACGTTACTTGTTTCAAATATTTCACAAGTTTATATATCTGCAAATCTATTGTAAGTTCGTCATCGAATTTATTCAAAATACATTCTAAATCCTCATAAGAGTTTAGCATTTTAATAAAAAATATAAAATTAAAACGAAAATTCGATTAGAGTTGAACCAGCTTTGTCTTTGGTAAAATTTCAAGATATTCTCGTAAAGAGGATGAAATCGCGGGCACATGATATAATGAACTTCTCTAAAATTCCTGTTGAGTAGACTATTATCGAAGAAAATATTCTTTGTTGATAACAATTGGTTAGAAGAAGAAAAATAAACTGAGCAACCACACTTTTCTTAGTCACACATTCTTAGTAGAATGATATTTTTCTATGTGTATATTTGTATTATAAATAAAATATTACCATAAGATTGATACACGACAATTCCCGTAGACCTGGAGCGTCGCGACTCAACTGTCCGCCTAAGTCGAAGACGACCCGTCAGGGGAAGAGCGTGAGGCTGAATATTAACGCGAGAGAACGCAGGAGGATGCACGACTTGAACGACGCTCTGGATGAGCTACGCTCCGTCATCCCCTACGCTCACAGCCCCTCAGTGAGGAAGCTCTCAAAGATAGCCACCCTCTTATTGGCGAAAAACTACATCCTCATGCAAGGTAACGCGAGCCTATCTAACACAAAGTGACGTTGTTGCGATTTTATAAAATCTTTTGCAAGTGAAAATTGTACCTTCTAATCTCTACTCTTCTCTCAGCTGCAAAACGCGCGCCACCATTAATACGAAAATCGTATCTGGAAAGCGGATATCAAAGTTGATATTAACGAGTCCACTTAACGAGCTGATCGGTAATTCTCGGAATGTACTCGCAGGAAACGCCCTGGAGGAGCTCCGGAGAGTGATAGCCGTCCTGCAATCGCCGCACGCTCACACAACCGCCCTGCCACCCACGCCCGTCTCCTACGATCTGCTTCAGGGATTCCCGGGCAAGCTGTTTCAGGGGGTCCAGGAGATGCAAGGACTCCCGGCGAGCGGCCCTCGCGAAATCGTGACAGCCGGAGGCCCGCCGACCGACGGCACGGTCGCTAGCGGAGAATCGAATTAAGGACCTCGGTTGATTTTCTAACGAATGATTTTCTTCTCTAGGCCATGACTTTTTCGCGAGAAACTTCAGTCGATCGACGCGGAGTCAAATCGATGAAACTGGGTCGAATGGCGGGAGATGCGATTCGAAGCACGCAAAAATTCTCCAGAATGGAAGTTCTAGAGAGTGACGATTGATTGATAATTTACATAAGATTTCATCTTGCGAGATTGTTAGACTGGTTGCTATTATATAAGGGAGAAGCAAGTCTCAAGGGAGCACTCGAAGACACGAGTAATTCTTCTAATTTCGAGCAATTCCTTAGCCACGAAAGTATTAATTATTAGAGTATTGCAGAAGCGCTAATTAACCTTTCAAGGAGCAGTCTGATCTTTTCCTTTTTTTTATATTAACGCACAATAATCCCCGTATTTATTTAAAAATGAAGATGGTGCGAATCAAAAAATCCGTTTCATTTCTTCCGTGGTAATGTAGAGTCATGTTAAGATTAAATCAAGCGAACAAAGTGAACGCGGTATTATCGAGCTCTTATCAAAAAGTAAAAAAATTATTGCGAAAAATCAAAGTAAAATAAAAAAGGAATTATTTAAAAGGAGTTGGAGAAAAGCTTTCTTCACGGAAGAAATAAAACGCACACTGATTTCAAGGAAACTCCCGTTTCCCTGTCCTTGAGAGGATTAATCAAGCGCGTCTCAAAGTCCAGATGAGGTTTGGGCGGAAGTAATGCGAAAGTATGGCGAAAGTACTAGCGATTAAGCGGTTAACAGTCTAACGATCATACAGCCAATGATACAGCAATAAGACGAAGGCGCATTCTCCTTTGTCCGACGGTCGATTCTCAAAGGGAATGAGTTCTCATCAGGACATCGATCAACTTCTCTTCAGAAAACTGGAGAAAAAAAATTTGCGCGCGCAAACTTTTCAAAATTGCGATTTGATTTCATCGTTCTTCGCGCGAGAGCGAGGAAACTTGAGGAGACGAAAAGTGACGGGAGTAATATTCGCGGAAGAGTTTTGCGGCAAAATTGCGCACGTTGTCCAGAACACTCGATTCCCGGCGAGAAATGGACAGTCGGAAGGACGAGAACGTCGCTGGGACTTGGAACGCGAAAACTTCCAAGTCTCGTCCTGAAACTTGATAGTCAATATTAGTATGTGATACGTGTCGAGGAGTTCTAGTCATATACAACATAAAGATATTGAATATTCATATACACATATACAATAAATATATATATACATACATACATATATATATATATATTTAATAATCTGAAAACGAGGCATCGACTTACGACTTATTTATATACTTAAGAGTCTACTACAATGTGCCGAGGATTTATCTGCTTCTTGTGTGAGCGCGAATGAGAGAGAGAAAGAGAGTGCGATGATGTGAAGAGAGGAGAAAACAAAACGAGAACACGAGAGAGAGAGAAAGAGAGAGAGAGAGAGAGAGAGAGAGAGAGAGAGAGAGAGAGAGAGAGAGAGTCGGATGAAAAAAGTACTATTTATTACGCTATTTGTAAAAGTACGAAGTCATGTGGTCCTCACGAGGCCTGAGTTTTCTCGGCGGGGGTGAGGATAATCGCGAGGACGAAGCAGCGTCAACGAAGGCAAGAAGAACACTTGTTGTAAGAGTGTAGATATAATTGTTTAGTGCTCCGAATAAAATCTATTTAAGAAAATCATACATTGTCGAGCGCGACGAACTGTGCTCTCTTCCCGACTCCATCTAGATCTATCTTGTTAGCCAATCCTCTATCCAGGATCTATCTTAATTCGATCCAGTTTCTTTTTCGAATAATTTGATTTTGTATTGTGATGCCACGACGGCTTATCCGATCGTAAATGCGATTTCCCGTGTTCTTTCATTTAATATGAGAATGCGCGATGTTCCGACACGAACACAAGACAAAATTCGCGATCCAGGACTGTGAAGCTTAGCATCACAAAACATCGCGGGTAACGTCTTTTACACGACGTCTACATTATCTCCGTCATCTCGGCCAGAAAATCGCCTCTCCGACCGACTTTCTCCACTGAGCGACACCCAAGCCACGCGGGCCAACAAGCAGACAGCGCCGTAGCGATTTTGAAAGTTGGCGCCTTCGAAGTGGCGCCGCTCCTCGACCGCGGACGGAAGTTCCTCTTCAAGGTTAGCCGCTCTCCTTTTCACCGTCTCAAAAATACCGCCGGGATTCCCTAAAACGAATCTCGCCGGCGTTGCTAGCCGAGTTGCTTCGGGAAAGGCCTGCGCGAGGAGGTGGTAACAGCGAGTCCTACCTGCGCGCTGATAACCGCCTGTTATCGGACCTGGTTGATACACCCGCGACGATGACGACGACGCGGCAGCGGCGGCGGTAATCTAGTGGCGCCACTACGGCGCGCTCGACGAACTCAACGAGCTCTCACTCGGCCTCCTCCCGTCCCGGCAAGAGGACTGGCTAACAAACGCGACAGGCAGGCAGGCAGGCAGGCAAGCAGACAGGCAGGCAGGTAGGTCGTGCCGTTTGTGCGTGCGTGCCCTCTCGACTCCAAGATGGCTTTGCCCGGAGCAGCGCAGCGATAGCCACGGCAGAGGGAAAAGAACGCCTAGCGATCCGGCTAGAACGTTGAGAATAAACCGAGTGAACCCGGAGGTGAGGTGAGAGAAATCGTCGCCAGCACGACGGTCGCCACGACGAGGACGGTGACGGCGAGGAGGAAGGCGGCCAGTGACGTCCTCAGCCGCGCAGAAATGTGACGCTCGTCAGTGGACCGGTGAGTGCGTTCCTCGACTTTAAATAGGGTCTACAATTCGAGATGCTTTTTCGTAGCCGGAACAGCACGATGGCGTAGTTGCTGACGACGACGAGAGTGAGAGAGAAAGAGAGAGAGAGAAGGGAAGAGTGGGAGAGAGAGTATGTGTGTATGTGTAGGTGTGTGACAGAGAGAAAGAGAGATATAGAGTGCAAGAGCGAGAGAGAAGGAGAGAGGGAGAGAAGCGATCTCGAAGAAGTGGGAGACGGAAAGAGAGAGAACGAGAGAGATAGAGAAAAAGAAAGAGAGAGAAAAAGAGACGTGTTGTTGAAGATACGTTGTTAACCGTGTAGATATTGCTACTTGCGAAATAAAGTGGTGAAGAGGTTTCTCCTGGCCGTGCCACTTCGCGAGCGGCCCAGGATATCAGCGAGCTGCAGGTGCAGCCGTGCGGGCCCAGCGTCTGTCGCGGATACGTCGCTAACTTTCGTTCACGCCGAATGTTTAGTGAGACATGTCGCGAGAGAGAGAGAAGCTTCGTCACGTTTCGCATTTTTGCGAACAAACGGAGGATGACGCGCGCGCATTCATCAGACGCCCCGGCGGCATTTTGAGACGCGAGAGATCGAGCGGGTGCGAGATTGTTCCTCTCGTTTGCCTTGGGACTCGTCAATTGGCTATCTCGCAACCTACGTTGTTGTAACGTCTCTTTTTTTTTTTTATTCTTGGTCGAGGAGTACATAGGCACTGTTCGATCGTTCAGCTCAGAAACACCCTGTGCTATATACATCTACGTGCCGTGCACGTACACACCTTGCGTAATCCAACTTAAATGATCAAAGTGACGCGACAGGAGAAACCTCGTTTCGAGAAGCGCGTTCGTCGAAACTGAGAACACCCTGTATACGTAAGGGCGAGCCAGGCTTTGATAGACGAGCTTCAGGAGCGTACAAACACGCATCTTGAAACGAGAGAGAAACAGCTTGCGCATACGTAGGTCCCCGATCTGTTTCTGAAAGTGGATCTGCTAGTGAAGGGAGAACAAATTTTGTTAGCCAATTTTGACATGGCCTCATTGACTCAGCAAAATTGTTCATGTTTAAATCATTGTATAAACACTTGCAAAAATAATCGTAGTAGTTGGATTACGTTATCTGGCCGGTCAGCGATTGCGCATGTAACCTTCATCAGTGAGACTATATTTCGGAACAGGAAAATATTTATTTCACGCCCGAATCGCGCGCTTCATTATGAGCTTCATCTGAGACTAGTAATTAAATTGTTGATCTTGCCCGCGAGAGAATGCGAGAGAACGAGAGAGAGAGAGAAAGAAAGAAAGAGAAAGCCAGTTAAGATAAACAGAAACACGTATAGAGTGAAGTTTATATCTGGATAAATACGTCACCAACACACACAGATAGCGCGGGCCGCAACGATTGAGCGCGCGTTCTGTTTACAACTTTTTAAACGTCCGCGACGACGGTACGATGAAATTAATTTACTCGCAAAGAATTCTACTTGACGAGAATTTCGCCGCGAATTCGATCCACGATGAGTGAACAAGTGCGTTTGGTGATCGAAAAAAAATTTCATCTACACTTAGATCCTTGACTCTCTCTGCTGTAACTTGTAAACATCTTAAAGGATAGCAACCTTTGACTTTGAGAGACCAGTTTAGCAATACGTTTTAAACGTTTTAAACGTAGAAATTGCTTTCTTGAGTACATAAAAGAAGAAATGCAGAGATGGAAAATAAATTATATAATTGCGAATAATTATTCCAGTTATTCCAAGGAGTAAGGAAAAATCGATTATAGCAAATGCGAAGACTGAAGATAAATTATATTATAGTGCATACATTCCTTTTTATATTAACATTGACATTTTTTTGGAATAAATAACTGCAAGTAGACAATTTCCGTTTGTATAATTTCTAACTAATTTACTGCACTTGAATTACTGTGCTGAGAGTTGTAGGAACATCGTCCATTCGGTCGGTCGATCGGCCGATCGGTTGCTTCTTTGATTGTCTCGGACGCGATTCGTTTCGATTACGCTCTGTGTAATCGGTCATGCCGGTGAGAAAGAAAGAGAGAGAGAGAAAGAGAGAGTATTCCCACGCGCGGAGAGTATTTAGTCTTATATATACTCGTTTACAACGCACAACCACGAGAGCACAATAGGACGAGCTTCTTGCCGCGAGAATGGGGCACGTAGTATCGCGGGACGCGTTAATGCGCGTAATTAGAAAATGAACATTGCGCTGGCAGTCGGAAGGCGGTGGGAAGGAGGATCATGACAAACGTGATGACGGGGCTGCTTAAATCCCTCTGTCCACTGACCACTGTCGCGAGGAGATCCTCGAAGATCCTGCGGGAATCAGGACGCCCGACGCGGGTCGCGTGCTTCGCTCCAAGCACAGGGATCTCCTTCAATCGCCTGCGGATCTTCGAGATCTCGTCGGGACTCTCCTCGATCTACAACGCGATCGTGACTCCGCCGGCTTCCGCGTGCACGGCGTGGTCGATCGTTTTCCGCCAAGTTCGCGCTTCATATTTATGTAATCTCGCGTCGAGATTAAAGCTTACATAATTCAAATTCGCGCGTACGAGTCATGCGCGCATATTTAATTGCATTTTATCGGTCTATTCGTCGCTTGCGCGCTCTCTCTCCCACTCTCACTATGTGGAAAAATATTCCAGCCTTCATTTTTATCCAATGCACAGTCGCGTTTTAGTATTACATCGTTATTTCTCTCTTTATCTCACACACACGGGACTGCACGACAGAGTTGAAATTGCATGGTTTGCGCAGTCGGAATTAATTAGATCATTGAGAGAGTTTTTCGTATTCCGCGGCAATTATTTTTGCCAACTCTGCAACATATTTCTCCGTGTGAAATGCACCCGGAATCGTCCAAGTAACGATTAAGTTGGCCGATCACGCCGCAGATAGTCACGCAGATAGTCGAGAGAGAAGGACAGAGAAAGAAAGGGATCTTTTCCGCTGTCGAGTGAGAGGATTTAGCCTTACCGCTCGATCGGATGAGAGACGAGATTGCTATTGATAGTCCCGTCTCCTGTATACCTGAGGCCCACCGCGACGGGCCCAAAAGCCCCTGTTCCGCTCCCCTTTCCTCCCCTGCTCGCTCTCTCGCTCTGTTTGTCCGCGGATCGATCGCGATACCACTGCCGAGCTCCCAGAAACCAACTCCGAGCTGTGTGCGGTTTAATATCTCTTCCTCTCGGAATGATTATCGATCGGCATCCGAATTTTTCGAATATTGCGCCGGTGACCCTCCGGCTGTTGGACCTCGGATATGACATGCGACTGTACATCTTGTCTCTTATTCAATCGAAAAAATAAGATAGGTGCGCGAGTCCTTGTACATCAATACACTTAGGGAAAATGTTGCAAACCGCGATGGCGTCGCCGATGACAGCTCGATGTCATCTCGTAATTCTCGACGATTTAATTATGTTCAACGTGAAGAAATACAATAAAGAGGGAAACGAGGGAACGCAACCTGCCTCAATCGCGACGATTCTTGGTGATTATCGGACTCGAGTGGAAATTGTTTATTGGGAATTGCGAAAAAGTTTTTTCTCGCGAGGAGGAATAGTCATTTTACGTGGACGAAGTTATTTCTCCTTTCTTTTTCTTTTATGGACGCAAAATTATCGGTAGAATTTCGTAACCTACGTTTCTCATTAACGAAGAAAGCTGATATCTTCCGGTCTAAAGTTTAGGAAACTTTGTTAATTCGAATGAAATTGAAAAAGTAATCAAGAGAAGGCCGATAAGAGCTGATGATATCAGATGCGGTGATAAGTGCAAATTAATGACCGCGAAAGTTTCTCTCGATCTCTTATCACAAATCTGATTCCTGCCTTTCAACGAGATAACAGTCCCCCTACGATCTTTTCTCGAGGCAACATATATTTTTAAG